TTATGTTTAAAAACCTTTCCACCAAAAAAATTACTCGTCTCGGTCATTAATATTACTTTTAAAAAAAAAGAAAAAAAAAAAGGTGGTAAAAAGAAAAAATCATCGTTTTTAATACAACTTAATTACCACGTATTATTTTATTTTTACTTACAGTACATAATAAATATTTATCGATATCATTATACGAGTGATAACACGATAACAACAATTTTTTTATTTTTTCCATAACATTATTTATTTATTTATTTACGCAATCATTTTTTTTTCTTCTGCTTTATATTAATATTATTTTACGATTACTTCGTTGTATATAAATAATCGAAAGAGAGTCTTTTGTTATGATTTTAATCGTGTTAATAATAATTTAAACGTGTAAAACCGCGTCTAAAACCACGACGGAAACAAAAAAATCGTTACAATTTATTAAAATCCATTATTAAAAATTAAATTTGGGTCGAAAACGCGACGCACGCACACAATCATTCATTCATTCATTCATTCGTTATTAACTTTACGTTTAAAAAGAAACGAAATAATAATAATAATAATAATAATAATAATAATAATAATAATAATAATAATAATAATAATATAAATGATTAATAATAATAATTTATTAAAACTTTTCAACGTGTTAACAATTTTCTTTTTTATAGATTTATATATGTATAAATATTTAAATTTTATTTTAAAATAAATTAGACGGCATTCTTTTATCAAAGTAGCGCTAATAATAATAATAATAATGATGATGATGATAATAATAATAATGATAATGATAATATATTTTTCAAACTATTATGGAATCGTCGCGTCGCGAGGTGTAAATATTTAAAAAAAAAAAAAAAAAAAAAAAAAAAAAAAAAATAGAAAATTAATTTCGTAAAAATAAAAAAAAAAAAAAAGGGGGGCAAGGTGAAATTTTGAAATAAATAAATATGGCCAATGATGATGACAATTGCCGCAAAAGAAAAAAGAGAAAAAAAAAAACGATTTTTAATAACCGGGTATCGTTTGTAATAATTAAAATATTGAAATAAATCGACTACCCGTTCGAGAGAGAGAAAAAAAAAAAAAAAAAAAACGGTAAACGATATAAATATAAATAAAGGGGGGGGGGGGGCGGCGTTAATATTTTTGTTTGTAGTAAACCGGTCGGATGGAGCTTAAGGGCCAGTTAATAAAAAATGTCAGAGTAAAAAATATACGAAAAAAAAAAAAAAATAACGTAAACGCGAAAATATTTACGCACGCACGCACGCACACACCGCACCAACCCCCCCGTTCAAGCAGATGGAATATTTAAAATGTAATAGACCGAAAGAGAGAGAGAGAGAGAGGAGAGAGAAGGAGAGATTTCGACGTGGTAGTAAATTTAAATGATAATGATAATTATCACGACGGCTAGACTTTTGTTACTACTATTTTACGCGTATTCATATATATATATTTATTCGTGCGTAAATATGCGTTTTATGATGACGTATCGCCGCCATTAATAGAATTTAAATTATTTTTTATTTATTTATTTATATTCGTATACAAATGTTTAACTTAAATTTTAATTATTTATTTAACCTTATCATAAATGTCACCGCGTAACACAATTTTTGTTTTTTTTTAATTTTTTTTTTTTTTTTTATAAAAATCCCCTCGGGACGATTTTGTTTACTCAATTTAATTAATAATTTGTTAATAATGATAATGATAATAATGATAATAAAATTATTATTAATGTTGTAAATAAATTCGTAACACGCGCGTATACTGAAAATCACAACTTAACTATAAATAATTTTTAAACTTTAATAAATTGGATTAAAACAATTTGGAAAAATTTTTTTTAAAAAGATATAAATTTACATAAATTTTAAATTATATTTTTATAATTAAAGTAATAATAATAATAATGATAATAATAATGATAATATTAATGATAATTATAGGGCTAAAATAAATTAACGGGAAAAAATGAAATGAAATAATTTTTTTTTTTTTTGGGGGGGTCGGGTTTGTGATTTCGTTACGTTTATAATTTAATTATAAGTATCGATTGTTAAAATATTGATATCGATATCGATCGATAAAATTTAATTTGATTGCGATAATTACAAAAAAAAAAAAAAAAAAAAAAAAAGGGATCCGTGTTAATTATTCTATACGAGTGTATAATAATAGTTTATCATTATTATTATTATTATTGGAATTTGTAAATTTTTCGACAAAAAACGAACTTGTTAATAATAATGATAATAATAATAATGATGACGCTGGGTTGTTGCGTTTGTTTGTCGTGGAAAAACTATGTAAATATGATTTGCGGTGTGCCACGAACGGTAGACCGCCATCATCATCACAACCGTTCAGGTTGTTATTAGAAAATCAAATTTATAAAAAACCGCATTTTACCACCGCCACCACCACCAACCCCTTCGGGTAGGGTTATATTAGCGTTGTGCGTGCATCCGTGCGTAAATGTGCGTACAATCAATTTTACGTTCGAGATACATATAAAAAAAAGAAAAACCTTTTATTAAAAATCAAAAAAATATTTATATAATGGATACGACGAATTAAATTTTTTTTTTAAAGGTATTAAAAAATTATTATTATTATTATTGCTTTGTGTGCGTGTGCTTGTGCGTATACGCGAAAGTACGTGCGTAATGAAAAATAATCGAAAGGTTTTTAATGTAAAATTATCATCGCCATTATCATTCTATACTTTTAATGAAAATTTTCTTCAATTTATATTT